CCCGAATCTCGATTTGTTTGACATAGAACTAAATCGAACACATCAATTTACTTCTGATCGGGCCCGATACTTAGGTCCACAAAAAATCATCGAGGGGCCCAGATATCGCTCCTAATCCAAGAAGGAACAGATAAACTTCGACTCATATGCTTCTTCTACTACTTGTTGAATCATACACAAATGCACGTTTTATAACATCGAGTTACCAATGCGTTTTCATACAATCAATGTATAACCAACTCATAGTCAACAACTCATGTCTCTAGGTTTGAAGACATATATGATGTTACAGTCTCATGATCACTCGAGATAAATTCCATGAAGTGATACAAGTGAGTGTGGGTTGAATCCAATATTCAGAACTTATGAGCACTCATGAGTGTTGTAGCACCTCTTGCTATGTCCAACAACTTAGACATCTTCAATCCAACTTCACGACAGTCTTGATTCATATCTACTTCCAACATATGACCTACTATGGAGAATTCGAATAATATGATATACAATAACATTATTATTCTGGAAGTCAAAACATGCAAAATGAAATGATTGTAAATGATTTACAGAGGATAGCACCACTTTACTTATAAATAAACAACTTTTATTTATCATCAAATGTGAATTACACCTTACAAATTTCAAAGCTATCTAATTTCTAAAACTAATGTCATCCTTTAGCCCTATGGACCTCGAATGATGAAGATGCTTAACCCTACCCAGTCCCTTCGTGAGGGGATTTTCTGGGTTCTCAACCGTGGATACCCTCTTTTCCATGAGGAGTCCTTCTTCTATTCGATGTCTGATGAAATGGTATTTTCTATCGATGTGTCTGGATCTTTTGTGATGCCTTTTTTTCCTTGGCTAAGGCAACTACACTTTCACTATCATAGAAAATCTCCATAGGCTCCTTTATAACTGGTACACCACCAAGGTCTCCAATGAAGTTCTTTAGCCATATAGCCTCCTTCGATGTCTCGCTTGCTGCTATATACTTTGATTCGCAATTTGAATTAGCCACTGTCTCCTGCTTGGAATTTTCCAAGTAATTTCTCCTCCGTTTAAGGTAAAGACCCAGCCTGACTGAGAGCAGAAATTATCCCTATCAGTCTGGAAGAGAGCATCTGTAGAGTCTAGTTTTTGTAAAAGTCGTAGTGTTTGTTTTGAGTTTCACATGTTAGTAATTTTACTAAGTCTTCATTTGTGCGAAGCATATTGTTCAGGACTTAGTATACTTTTTGTACACTAATGTTTCCTATAAATAGGGACTGAGGTTAGAAGTAGAAAAAAGAAAAAGGTTTTTCTCTGCTTAGCTTGTAATCAGTTTCTTCATCAATATAAGATCTGATTAATATTTACTCCTTGTGTTCTTAATTTTCATTCATCTAATCATGATTTCTTTCTAAATCTTGATTACAATTCTCATCAATTGGTATCAGAGCATGATTCAAACTGCATTGATTTGATTTTTGTTTTAGAATTATTTGCTTTTTTGAGTAGTGTTTTTATTCAAAAAAAATTCCGCGCATTTTGGTTCTGAAAATCAATCTTCATTGTTTAGTTGAGTGATCGATTAACAATCAGTGATCAATTCATTTGATCAATTCACAAAATCATTACGTTTTTCAAGTTTTTCTGAAAAATTATTGTGTTCATTAATGGCGAACTTCAACATGAATACCATGACTTCTTTCTCTCACTTGCTTGGTTCTTCAACCAAAATTCCAATGTTAATCCCTGAGTATTATGATCAGTGGGCTGATAGGATGGAGGATTACTTAAATGGAATTGATGAAGAACTCTTGAATTGTATCAGTGGAAAAGTTCTACCTCCTGAAAATGTTCAAACAATCGGATCATCTGCTTCTTCAAATGAGGTTGTTGAACAACAGAATTGCATGAAAAAGAATGAGAAAAGATGTATGAGGGAGCTAAGAGGTGCTCTGCCTCCTGTGGTTTACAATTACATTCGTAGTTGTAGAACAGCCAAGGATATTTGGATCACACTAAAAGAGAAATATCAAGGAAGTGAAAACACATGAAATCAAAGTTACATAAATTCTTGAAGAATAGAAACAAAGTCTAGGAGGACCATTGGCTTTAGTTTCGAAGGTTACTAAAATTGATGCTGGTGAGAAAGAAGAATCAGACAATGAAGGTTTCTTAATGAATTCTGATGATGAAGCAGTTGCATTTTATTCAAATAATAGAGTTAAGAAATTTTTCAAGAATCTTTTTAATCCAAAAGGGAAGCAAACTGATGCAAAGAGTGGGTTCATAAATGTTGGAGGCGAGGAAAAGAAGAAATTTGAGAAGGATGAAGAAAAGCAGAAAGATGCGAAACCTGAGAAGAAACTAAATGGTGATTCAGGAATTCATTGTCATTCCTACAATGGTGCAAATCACTTCGCAGCTAATTGCATGTTGAGAAGGAAAGAGGAAAAGAAGAGTAAAATCAAAGATGAAGCCTACTATTCAGAGAAGCTTGAGGAGGTGTGTGCGAAGGTGAAATGATTGTCTTTGGTTGCAAAAGGAGAGTTTGACGAAGAAGAAAGTGGAACTTATTAGATCTGGTCTTCAGGATCTGATGATGAAGAGATGAGGCACCCAACTCATGGTGCAATGTTCGCAAGTTATGAAGATAATTGCGAAGAGAATGTTTTTGGACGATGCTTTGTGTCCAAGTCCACTGATAAATCTCCAATGACCACTAAGGTATGTGCTATTCTTGAATCTTTTAATATTCCTTTATCTACTTATGATGCTGAAATAACTTCATTTGATGATATTGTTGCTTATTTTGATGTTGTTATTGTGTCTGCTAGTACTGAAGCACAAAATCTAAATTCGCAATTAGTTGAGACAAGAAGACAATTAGAAATAAAACGAAGCAGAGTAGATAAACTAGAATTACAAATGAAAAATGTAAATTTTGATAGGGACAAACTTGATAAAGAAGTTAGGTTGTTACTAGCACAAAGAAACATTTATTGTAACTCTGCTAAGCGTTTGTATGAGAAGTTAACTGCTTTACATCATTCATCTGAGATAAGCAAAGAACAACATATGAAACTACTACCTTTTCATGAATTTGGACGTGAAAAAGTTGATGTTCACTACTAGAAAAATAACCTTTTACGACGCGCATTTAATGACACACACTGATAGAGGACGCCGATTTGAGCGTGCCCTAAAAATTAATGTTAGTTTTCCAAAATTTGAAGGATAGAGGACACGCATTTTTGCGTACCCTAAATTACTGTCAGAAAAGAAAGAAAAAGAAATACGGAGGGCACCTATCAAAAGATGTGTGTCGTGTAACTGTGTCACTTTATAATTTTTTTTGGAAACACGCGTTTTTAGTGGGAAAATGAAATCTAAAAAATTAACCCCCGCCTATTCATCCCAAAAATTCACCGCATCTTCAAATTAGGGTCGTCGTCTTGATCCACAGCTTCCTCAATTCCTCGATCCATCACCTCCACCAAAAACCTAATTCTCGGTTCCAACAAGTTCTTACACTCTTAATTCAACCCTAATGAGCTGAGGATTTAGGGTTCTTACCTCCCAGTTATCAATTTGAGCCGATGATTTAAGGTTCCTAAATCCGACCCTAATTTTTTCTATCTCACTCTCGTATTTCCATCTCATATATCTCGTCTGGTTCAAAACACGTAAGGGGCGACGAACACACTATTTCTTTGCGTATTTTGGTCTTCACGAATATCTCGTTTCCATGTAAGATTTATGTTTCGAGCCCAAACCATCCTCACGCGATGTCATCAACTTCTCTTACTCATTCATCTGCACTCAGTGGTTCTTTGTCTAGAAGCACCACTCCCGAACCTCAAATCGTGGCTAGGTTAACTAATCCTCGCATTCCTGCCGCCGGAGGCAGGGTTAACTTTGATCCATCTGAACCATCCGACTTAGCAGCAAGCATGAGTCTATCACCAGATGGTCTGACAAATCAAGAAAATGAGATTGATGACCAAAACACCCATATCAAACATCCATACTTGACAAACAAAGGTTTGTATCAATTTTAATGCCATGGTACATATATCTTCTCATCTATCTTCTCATCTATCTTCTCATCTATCTTCTCATCTTTTACATATCAATTTTAAGCCTAATACATTCAGTTTCTAGATTATATATGCAGAGGAGCTGGAGGCGGCAACCTAGAATCACGCTGTAAAGCCTAATTATGAGTCTTAGTGATAAATCAATGATGCGGGATAGTCATGCATACACCAATGGATCTGAGTTTCAAATGATTAGGTAGGGTGTAAATTAGACAAAAAGAATAAGGTGTTCGATTCACCCTTCTCTAAATTCTTCTGTTTAATATCACTCAGAAGTCCACGAATTACGTACCAAATCGTTTCGTACCCAATCGGGTACGAAAGTGTTCCGAACGTGACCTGGATCGCAAACCGGTATGGTGTCGAGATAGTTCCAAATTGGAATCTGGAACAAGTTTTATTTGGTAATCTAATAGTTCCAAAACACGATTTCAGGTTCAATTTCTGAAATTGGTATTTCGATTTCTCATATTGGTACGCCGATTTTATGGAATGGCGGGAAACTGTCGACTGTTTCCACATCGATTCCTAGACTCTTAATTCTTCTGATTCACTGAACCATCTTACACACTAATGTTCAATTTCTTATTCTGAGTACTATAATTTTGTATATAATACTCAATTTGAAATCATCTTTTAGAATGATTGTTTGTGTAGTCGGTTTTTACAAAGTTTATACAGAGTCTATATGTACCAGACTAGCTATTCAAGTTCTTGTTCAGTGGGATTATTAGTCCTGTGCTTGCTATTCAAGATCTTGTTCAGTTTGATAAGGTCCCTTAACTCTTCAGAGCTTCTTCTTATTCTTCTTCTCTTTTAACTATGTGTTAATTCAGTGTGAAGGTAGTATGTGTTTTGATGATTATTTAATCTGTGAGATATCATTATCACTTCATGTTTCATTGATTGTAGTCAATGGCTGAAGCTCTGGACAATCAGGTTAAGAACAAGGTATTTATTAAGGTAAATAATTTTCATCTCTTCAATTCTGGTGTGGGGAGAAAATGACTATTATACCCTTTACATTCCAGTTAACAAATTTCATAATATCATCAATTTGAACAAGATATAAGTTGCATAAGGTAAAGAGTTAATGACTTGATACATTCAGTCTTAGGCTTTAACTTAAGCATGTAAGAGTTAAATGAGGATTATACCCTTGGTGTATGGATTCTGATGATTTGGTTTATATAGTGAGGTGAGGTTTGTATACTCAGATCTGAAACACTAAATCCATAAGCTTTTTCACAACTGGAAGCTATCCTACCCTAAGTTCTATTTAAACTTTCACACACACACACACACGCACACATATATATATATATATATATATATATATTTATTTATTCTATAAGCTGATGTGGCATATTTCAGGTGCTTTTGGCTAAACTATGTGAAGGAACATCAGAAGTGAATGCAAACAATGGCACCATCAGTGGTGTTCTTGTAACTGTGGGATATCTTGCTAGAGTGGTAGGAGATTTTTACATTTTTTTGTTCTATTAAGTGTAAAATGTTTGATTTGTTGAGTCTTACTTGTATATGTGTAGGGTGCTTTTGTTAAGAGAAAATGTATCCCTGAACTTATGCCAAGAACTGTTGAAGCTTTGTTGGATGGAGCTGCTGCTACTAAACGTGAGGTTTCTGTTGCAACTGTTGGTCAGGTTTTATAGAGCACAGGGTATGTATTCATCTTTAACAATATTACAAGTGACACTGCAGTCTAGTTCTTTTGTTGGGCTTACTTTTAGTAGTGTGTGATGTCATCGGATGTTGCCATGGCTCAATTCCGTTTTCTTATCCCCATTTTGTTAGTCCCCGGACATTGGAATTACCAAAGAATGGGTTACATGATCCTCTATAATTTCTATAGAAACACAGTTTTTGTCCTTGTTTTATTCTGGCAACTTCTTCTCTTCATCTCCCTCCAATCAAAAAAGCATTCGTTTTCTAATTTCTACAACTCTATACAGGTATGTTTTATTTACTGCATTCACTCAATCAACCGCCATTATTCAATATCTACCTTACAGTTGATAATTTAATGGATGTGTTTCACTCTTTTGTTTAATAAACACATTTAGATTCATCAATTGTTCGACATAAGGCTCATATAATGAAGCTAGAGTTTAGGACTTTATTGATGCCTATGTGGAACGACATCAGGTCATCATATACTTTTTTCCCTTTCACATTTTCTCAATTGTTTCTTTAAGGTTCTCTCCAATATGTGGAACAAAATAAGGACTTCATTGATGATAAAAGAATCTTAGGTTTTCACTTTTCATAAAGAATCTAAAACCACCACAAACCATTTCATCTGCGGGAGGATTTTGATGAGTTTAAGGATGTTGATATGCTATACAACACCTTATCACTAGACAAAGTAGAAGCTCCAGAAGATCTTGTTATCATTGGTCCACCTAGCCTCGTTAAGGTAACAACATATCTGTTGTGCAAAACCCTACTTGCTGAATTTATATTCCATTCATCATCTAGAAACTAGTTCCAATTAGAAACCATGTCAACTTAGTCAAGTTAGTTTGCTTAATTTCCCTATGTAGAAGGAATTCATACGAAGAAAAAATTTCATGAAAATAGTTGTCACACCCCGCTAAAGCGGAAACGCAAGGTATGACAGCGATAACGGTTTCATTGCAAAAGATAAAGATACATCACCATAGCAGTATTTAAAAGTTTACAACCCATAGCTTCAAAAGAACAAAATACAAGTTTTTCAAAATAACATTGTTCAAAATATAGCTTCATAATAGCTTCAACACGATGCAGCATGCTCTATGATGATGAATCTTTACATCCACTTACTAATTATTTCCTGAAAAAGCATGTAAAACGAGCGTCAACTATGAAAATAGTTGGTGAGTATCACAAGTTTATAAAATCGAGCGTACAATAAGGCTTTTCGTAAATACAAGTACATTGCTTCAATGATAAACAAGTTGATTGCTATTAATGAATACAAGTTTATTGCTATAACGAGAAACGCGTTTGTATGTGTATGAGCAAACAATGAGTCTCAACCAAACCTATGACTGATGCCCTATCGAGATCTATGCTTATCGTTCCATAGATGAATATGGTATCATGCACTCCAGCGATTCGGGCGAGTGAGGAGTTGTCAATTCCTAATAGCGCTATCCATAACGACCATTGGCTCAAAGAGTTAATGGTTAGAGATAAGGGAAGGGCCTTTGTACGATAAGTTCTCATGTTCCGTGTTGCATAGACATACATAAAGAAACATAGCAATACAATAGCAATCATGTTTGATACAATTCAATTTAAGTACAACATGCAAACAATAGTTTTTCTGGACATGCTTTTCCACCCCAAAACATAAAAAACGAAAATAGGGGAGTGCGTGAATACTCACAATATGCTAAATATAGCAACCAAGTTTATACGAGTTAGATAAATACAACGGATATAAATAGTTTGACATGCTTTTCCACCCCAAAACATTTAAAAACATAAAATAGGGGATTGGTGAATACTCACGATGTTTTGTGTAGACACAAGCGGTACTTCGGGATGCACCAACGTCTTACTACCGGGATCCTACGACACCAAACACACGCACTAGTGAGTTTCCATGTCGATATCTAATGCTAATATACTAAACTCTACATATAGGGAAATGCCAATTTATGTTTTAGTATTGGATTTATATCATTTTGTTACACTTTTTCTGATGTATTGAAATTTTACAAGTCGTGCGATTAATTACAACCTTGGAAGGTTAATTTTCCAAATTTTAAGTCTCAATAACAACATAAATTCACGAAAAATAGCATTCGAGGGATAAAAATTCTCAAACTTTTTATTTAACTGTTAATACACAATACTAAGCTGGGAAAATTATAAAAATGGATTTCCAAGCTGTTTAATTATATTTTATAATTTTTGAGCATTTATTTCAATAAAAATTGAAATAAATAGTAAACAGTTTCCAAAATTACCTAAACTTTTTATTTAATTGTTATTATACATAAATAGGCTGGGAAAAATATAAAATATATTTTTCAGTGGTTATTTGTATTTTTCCTTGTTTTATTCCTTTAAATAGTCATTAATTAAAGAAATATTATTAAACAGTTAAAATAAATTACCATAAATTTTTGTAACATCATTTACAGTATAAATATCTTGGGAAAAATATCAAAAGTGGTTTTCATAATGTATAAACTGGTTTTGGGTATTTATGTATATTTAAGTGAATTTTAGTGCAATTAACTTTAGAAAATAAGAGAAAAATAGTTTACAGTGGAGAAAAATATTCAAAATTTTTATGTAACCTCCTACTATATAATATGATATCCTGGAAATTTTCATGAATTTTGGATAATCAGAACTATTTTTCCCATTTTTAAGCCATTATAATTACCAAAAATTGGGAAAAATAGCTAGACATGATGAAAAATCTTGAAATTATTTTCTTGAGTCACCCATCACAGTAAGGTATGCGAAAATTGTTAGATACAATTTTCACATCCTAAAAAGTGGTTTTGTAATTTATCATGTCTAAATAAAAGAAAATTAGAAATCGTATTAAACAGTAACAAAAATTACTGAAATTTGGTGAGGGGTCATTATTCCCCATAAGTATCATCCATGAATTTATTTAGGATTTATTGACCTCTGGAAGTATTTTATATGATTTATGCCCTTGGTTTTAGCAATAATTCTAATAAATCAAATAAATAACAAAAGCTCTTGAAATTTTCCAGATTATCTCATGCATGCAAGGGCTTTCAAAAGTAAAAATGTTAAGAATGTATTCAGAAGAGAAATGAGGGTAATGATTCCAAACAATTTAAGAAAAGTTGCATGCAATAATGCATGAAGTGTAGATGTGGCTGAGGTTCATGAATTTTTGTAGCCCATTCAGTGAGGTTTTAAGCCACGAAATTTCAACCATAACTCACTAGATATGTTAAGTTTCTAAGGTATTTTTCCTAAGATTTATGGTTGGGTTTAAGACCATTGTTTAAGCAAGATAAAAATAGTGATCACAGAAAAAGAGCTGTATGCGCAACCTTTTTGTAAAATCTGCCAAAAATCGGATATTTAATATTTTACAGTAAGACCAGTTGGGTTTGAAAGTTAACTCGTGGAACTAACCAATACAAAAAGAATATCATGATTTGGTTAAAAAATGACTGAGTTATGACTGTTCAAAGTCGAACAAAATAATCTGGCAGATTGCATGTTTGCTTGTGTGCATTTTTAGGGTATTTCAATAAGAACATCATGCATGTCCTTGGTAAGGCCCGATTTCTAACACATGCATGGAATGAATGAGCATCCAAGATGTACTAGAAATGGTTTAATGCTTTCGTTCATGCATGAACACACAAGAAATGGAGAAGAACATGAAATATTATGTTTTGATGTCACATGATCATATGTGCTTCTTTTCCACTCCTTGCATGGGTTTGATCCCGGATTTTCACCATCTTTAACACATGCATTGTGTTATGGTGAGAATCTACAAACCACAAGGGGAGAATAAAGATTTCTAGCCATGGAAAGGCATAGAATCCGAAAAGTAGAGAAGACTAAGAAGAAAAAGAGGTTTAACCATGAAACTATGGAAGAAGATGTTGTTGTTTACCTTGGTTTTGATCTTGAGAGAAGTAAGAACACTTCAAGGGATTCAAAATCTGGAAATTTTGCAGAGGATTGAGAGGATTTTCGTGAGTTTAGAGAGAAGGAAGAAGAGAGTGAAGTGAGAGAGTGAAGTGGAAGAGGTGGAGTAAGGGTTTAGGCTTGATGATTGTGTTTTGGGGAAGAGAGAGGGCATGGGGAGAGGTGATGGCCGGTTTTTGCATGCCTTTTGGCCTCCTCTCTCCTAAATTTTAAACTTTATAAACTTCCCTCCCATATTTTATATAAAAACATTCATTTTTATAAAATGTTTATTAAGCAATTTGATTTATTTAAAAATCTTGTTTTCAACAAATAATTTATGATTAATACTTGTAATTTATATTTCTAGTTCATTGGTATAATCCATAATTTGATTAATATAATTTGATACTAGGAAGTTTATAGCCAAATTTTATAAAGTTTTTAAGCTTTATGTTTTATAACTTTGGATTTTTGGCTCTTTAGGGTTTTTGGAACATTGTTTGGTATTCAACAACATGTTGAAGTATAATTAGAGTGTTTTAATTTATTTTTAGAGTTTTATACCCTATTTCAATTATAACAAAGTTTGAAGCTTATTCTAATTATAGTATTGGCATTTCCTATTGTAGCTAAGCAACTTACTAGAATTGTAAGTATCAAGTATATTAGTCCTAGACCTTAGTTGGATCCTAGTTTATGCAAGATTTTTGACCTAATTTATACTACTAGGTCATGGCATGTTGTGCATGAATGGTTATTATAAAGATGCATGAGTCCAAGAATGACCTGAATTGACAGTTGTCACAGTATCCCCCACTTAAAAAGAATTTTGTCCCGAAATTCATTCTATATCATCGCTTGTCATCGCATGGGAATAGTTGCGGATACTTTTCCTTTATGTAATCCTCGCGCTCCCAGGTCTACACCTGTTATCGTGAATGGCGCTTAACTCTTGGGGCAATTGGAGTTTATACGCTACCGGACCAATCCTTTCAAGGATTTCAAAGGGTCCAACATATCTCGGGCTTAGTTTTCCTTTCTTACCAAAACGCACAAGCCCTTTCCAAGGCGACACTTTTAAAAGTACCTTGTCTCCTACTTGGAATTCTAATGGTTTTCGACGATTATCCGCATAACTTTTCTGACGATCTCTAGCAGCTTTAAGCTTATCTTTGATGATAGTAATCTTGTCAGATGTTTCCTGGATAAGTTCGACTCTAGTCAACTGTCTGTCACCGATTTCTGTCCACATAAGGGCGAACGACACTTGCGTCCATACAATGCTTCATATGGAGCACATTGGATACTCGTGTGGTAACTGTTATTGTAGGAAAACTCAATTAGGGGCAAATGAGTATCCCAATTTCCTTTGAACTCAATGACACACGCTCGTAGCATGTCTTCCAATGTTTGTATTGTTCTCTCTGTTTGCCCATCTGTCTGAGGGTGGTAAGCTGTGCTCAAATCTATCTTGGTTCCTAGTGCCCTCTGTAACATCCACCAAAATCGAGATGTAAAACGACTATCTCTATCAGAAATGATAGATAGGGGTACACCATGCAGAGAAACAATTTTGTCGATGTAGATTTGGGCCAATTTTTCCATCTTGAAATCTTCTCGAATAGGGAGAAAGTGAGCGGATTTCGTCAGTCGATCCACTATGACCCAAATTGAGTCGTGACCTCTAGCAGTTCTAGGGAGTTTGGTAACGAAATCCATAGATATTTGCTCCCATTTCCATTGGGGAATTTCAGGTTGTTGCAACAACCCGGAAGGTTTCTGATGTTCAGCTTTGACTATTGAGCATGTCAAACACTTCCCGACGTACAAGGCAATATCCTTTTTCATTCCAGG